TATTGGAGAGAACTTGCACTTAATCTTTGCTAGATTTTGTTTTTGTAGGAGTGTTACTTCCTTTTTGCTGTGAGAACTCCTCAGAGACAGTACTCCTCCCTAACTATTTCTGAAGAGTCTGAACTGGAAGGAACTCAAAAAGATAGTTTCCTTTTTAGAGAATGTTTGTCTCTAAGGATATCACTGTTAGAAAACCTTTTCTCTGGTCGTGATGACTGTTTAGAACTTCTATATTTTTAGTTTAGATTTGTTAACTATAATATCAATTTAATCAGCCTTTTGATAATATTTTTATTATGACTTATTTCCCCTCTCTCTTCTTCCCTGCCCAGACGCACACAGCCTTTTCTTCCTCTGAGTTTGTGATGAGGAACTGCTGTCCACATGTTTCTTGTGTGGTCTGTAGTTATAAGCTACAATTCTTAAATGTTCAGGTTTTTTTGTGGTTCTATGAAAATGTTGTAGTTATGCAATAAAAAAAAATTCATATGTCTATTACATATATTGTCAAAAAATTACAGTACCTTGAGAGGTCAAAATTTGTATCTACACTTGAGTGTGAAGGCAATATTATAAAAGGCATATAACCAGCAGTCAGGGCAAGACACTAGCATTATATCGTGCGTAACTTTGAAAAGGGGAGAGAAAGAGTTATTTTTCCTGCTGTTTTTCTTGAGGTGGCAAATTGAAAGACAATTGTACTTTTTTCTTACAAACAGGAGGTTAATCAAGTGGTTAAGATTTAGAGTTTAAATCTGTAATACGATCCAAGCAGTGCAGGCCCTTTCAGAGAAATGGCATCTTTATGCTCCAGATGTTTTCCCCATCTACAAAGAGAACATTTTTTTCCTCCGAATTTTACAGATCTACTCAGAGATAAGGAGTATTACAGACTCTTTTTATAAGTATGCCTACACTTCACCCTGGCCAGTTTTACTTTTAAGTAATTGTTTAGTTTTTAAAATGAATATAAGGGATGTTTTTTCTCTTTTGATGATCCTGCCTCTTTGGACGCCTTAATCATCTTAATCAGATTGGCAGTCCTATCCCAAGGGACTTTTCTACTGAAGTAAAAATTTGGAAGTCCAAGTTTTTATAAAAAGCATTTTTGTATTTTATAGAAGCATTTTTACCTCTTCACTAAGGTGGAGCAGAATGGCGTTTTGTCATTTCTGAACTGGTAAGTCTCCTGGGGAGGATAGCCTGCTTATATAAATTAGAGTTGCTTATGGTAGGGAAAGCACTGCTTTTACTTACCATGAGACTGAGTCAAAGCCGTTTCCATTTGTGAACTGGAGAGAAGTAACCCAATTCTTCCCACATGCACATATTCCCCAGAGAAAGTGGGTCTTGCTAGAGGAGGTGGTTTGGATCAAAGGCTATTGGCACTGCACAAAAAAAACCGAGGAGAGAACAATTCAATACAAGCATTTAATTGGATTTTATCAGAAGGACTGCCAAATGAATGCAATGCCAGGAAACTTTACCTGCAGGTCTTCATTACACTTTCTCTGTCAGAAAAACTGTGCCTTCTTATCTGTGTTGTTCCTTGAGCAATGTCTCACAGCATTTGAGGTTGGGGCCACACATTCAGGATATTGTGTGTCATTGCCAAGTCTGTAAATACAGTTCATGTTTGTTGGCAGCTCTGTCCATTAACATTACATCATCCCTGGACCAAACCCATGATAATGAAAACATTTTCAGACCAAGTAATTCAGCTTCTGACTTAAAAGTCCCCAGTATAAAAGGTAACCTCAGTCCATAGGTACCACACACTCTCAGTAGTGCTTCCTTTTCCAGTACCTATCCTGTTTGTGAGTTTAGAAAAAATGTTAAAACCAAGTTTATTTTAAGCCAGATGAGATCTTTGGGTGGTCAGATTCTTCTGTCTCATCACAGCTATCAAGTATCTTCTGCAATTCTGTACTTTTTGAATATTCTGTATTGCCAGAACAGCAGTACAACAATTTGATCACTAATAAGAAAGATAAGAAAAGAAGGGAGAAAGAATTGAGTATTGTATTTCCATCAGGCCCTTTCAGCATCTTTCTGTTTCATACTAAATCCATGACCTTTTAACTCGGTTCATTCATGTTACTCAATAATGGAAAGGTTCCACAACTTCTCTCAATCGTTTTTCCAGCTTCATCTTTGTGTAATTCTTGTATTTTGCTTTCAACTAGACAGAGCTGCTGAGATTGCTGTTATGGTCATTGCTGTCACTGACATAATCCTCCAAACCCTCCTTCAGATTTTCTGAGTCTTCAGCTTCCCCATATAGTTCCTTGTTGCCTTAATTGCGGGTGGTACTTTGATTTAAGTCCTTCTCATGCTCTGCATGAAATTAATCATATTCTTGGTAATTAGCTTTGGGTATACCAGAGGATAATTTTCCTCAGAATTCTGCTGCTTGCCATTAGCAAGCAATGCCATCAGTCCTTCATTCTCCTTGAGATTCCTCACAGGAGTTGTAGTGTGTTAACACAGGTGTTTGTTACAAACTTCTTTCTCAATAACATTTCAAATATGTCAAATCAAACTTCTAAACTAAGCAGGTATTTGAATATGGGAAAAGATACAATTACGGTGTGTGCTTGAGGAGGATCTCACCTTTCTTTTTTTCCCATTAGCTGAGAAAGTTGGTAAGTTTTTCTTGTTACTGTTTTAACTACTCTGAATGTTCTAAATGGTGATTTTCCTTTGGGACATAATGCAAGAAATACATTTCACCATAGAGAGATCTTGCTGGTATTTGAGTTACTGTTTTTGACTTGTCACATTTAATCACCCATACTTGCAGTTTTTGGTATAGCATTCTTTTTCATTCTTCCTTTATAGTTTCACTTGCAAAATCAAGCCATAGACCAATAGCTTGAAACTATCTGAAGCTACTCAACCCTTCTTTTAGGGGGTACAAAAGTAGAAGTTAGGAAAAGTGGTTTCAGGAATGGCCAGAATATTGTCAGTTACAGTAGTTGCTCTGTGTACTGTTAAGACTCAGAAAGCATAATCACATCAACATGGATGCTGCCCAGTTTAAGTTGTTAATGAGTCAGTACAACTTCCATGGGCCCACAGAGCATGCACACAGATCACTGCATTTCTTCTTGTTGAGTTAAAACCACAGAAAACTCAGTAAAGCTTGACCTATAGAGTTTGGATTTGGACAGCAGGAAGTCTGCCACTAAAGCTAGCCAAAGTTCATACAGTCACAGAAGGTTCCTAAGTGCCAGATTTTTAAACACTCAGATGAGGAATATAAAGTTGGTAAAATCTACTTATTCTATTAAGTTTTAAAATGCTGTTGTTATGGTCTGAAATTCTCCAATACCCAAAAACCAAACCTGAGCATTGATTCAGTCTAACTGAATGTGATCAAATGTAGTAGAAAGCCCTTTATCGGTCAAGTGCACAAAATAAAAAGCCATGATGGAATACTAATACTGTCATTTAAGTAAGTTTGCATTGCAAGTATGAGCTTCTAGATTTCCTGTCTGCGTCAGGGGTTTCCAGACAATGTCATTTACAATTATGCTTTCAGTAAAAAAAAAATAAAATATTAAAAAGTTAGATCTCCCTAATGCTAATTTAACAGGGTAAATGAATCATGTCTGCTGAAAGGAAGCCATAATGCATACTTTACATAGAAATGAATGTTCCTTGAGGACTGTGAAAAAACTGACAAAAGGGATTTTAATAGAAATTAATAACCTTCTTAAAAATAGCATCAGGGATGCAGATACTTACTAAATTATACTAAGTACATTTAGACAATTCTTATGCATCACTCATGAAAACTTAAACCAAGTTTTGATGCTTGGTTCCAAGTCTGGGAAATTCATAAACATGAGGCAAAGAAATGACATGCCATTAAATTCTAAAATCTGTATTTATGAAATGAAGGTACAACTGAGTGGTGATTGTGCTAACACGGACTAACCTACTTACAGCTATGCCTTCCCTGTATCCTGCCTTTTCCCACAGGAGACTGCATGTTCTAATTATCTATTGTGATTTTCTTTTTCCTCGCTTCTACTTTTTATTAACAGAAGCTATAAATCTTTGAATAAAGACATGAAGCAATCTTATTAAGTCTGATTAACACTTTGCTGATGCTTTGCAGCTACATATGCTGCTACACAAATGTGAGATTGCTCATCCCAAATACAGAAAAAATACTTCCATGTGTTTCATAAACATCCAGGATTATTAGCATACTTACAGTGTCTTTAAGATACTCTAGATATATTATTAAAGGAGACATAACTTAAACGCACTTAAACTTCTTACTAAGAAGAGCATATATCGATTTTAAAAATACTAATCTTTTCACACTTTGTTTTAAACAGGGGGAATGCATATGAGGAGCACTGATACGAAGAAAACTTCCCGAAGGTCATGCAAAGGCAAACTTGGCTAGTGGGGAATCGCCTTCCAGAAGAGACTGCACCCTCAGCCTTCCACTGAAATAATTGCACAAGGTGAATACATTTTGATAGTACTTCTAAGTGTCTGCCGTTAAAGGAGATTTTTGCTCATCACCCAGTGCAGCGTAGGGACCAGGTGTCATGAAAAGGACTGCAGTGCCTGCAGACTGCTTAAAATTTCTGCAGAGCAACGGGAAAACCAGAACTGCTTTTCAGGCTGTTGAGGTGCAACATCGGGGCGATCCCCCGTCCCACCAATGGAGCTCAGGTTTTCGGGGGCTGAGCTATAGTGCAGTTAGCAGCGGGAGGCGGCCGAGCTGCAGGGTGGATCCCCCAGGGAAAGGAGAAGCCGCGGTTTAGCCCCGGAAACCAGAGACGGCCCCGCCTGCCAGAGCGGCGGCCCCGAATACTAATCCTGAGAGGCGGGGTGGGGGGAAGCAGCCGAGGGAGCGGAGGAAGGCGCGGATGCTGAGCGCTCTTGGGTCTGTCCCGCAGGTGATGGCCGCGCCTCGGCGGCCGGCAGCGCTCCGCACGGACCAGGCGCGGCGCCGCCGCAGGTAGCGCGGCTCCATGGAGGGCAGCGGCGCGGCCCCGGAGGAGGAGGAGAGCGGGGCCGCGAACGGCGCTCCCCCCCCGCCGCCGCCGCCGCCCACGCCGGCCGCCCCCTGCGGCTTCAGCTCCTCCCTCTGCTTCAGCGCCGCCGCTGCCGAGCCGCAGCCGCCCGCGGCCGGCGGCCGGGTGGTGCAGAGCCAGTGGGAGATCAACAACGCCGCCTGCCAGCCGGAGGAGGAGGATGAGGAGGTGGTGGGGCCTCGGGACCGGCCGCCGGAGGAGCCCGACCTGGTGATCGAGGTGTCGGGCCGCCGCATTCGGGCGCACAAGTCCGTGCTGGCGGCCAAGAGTGACTATTTTCGTGCCCGCGCCTCACGGGACGTCCTGCGGGTGAAGGGGGTGAGCTACGGGGCGCTGCGGCTGCTCATCGACTACGTGTACACGGCCCGCATGGGCGAGGTGCGGCACGACAACCTGGCTGAGGTGGTGAGCGGCGCCCGCGTCCTCCAGATGCCCTGTGCCCTGCACTGTGCCGCCGAGGCCATGCGCGCCCAGCTCTGCCTCGGCAACTGCTACCAGCTCCTCTGCCTGGCCAAGAAGCAGCGGCTGGCCGAGCTGCGGGAGGCTGCCTATCGCTTCATGAGCGACCATTACCTGGAGGTGCTGCGGGAGCCCAGCGTTTACGGCCGCCTCAGTGGCGCTGAGCGGGACCTCATCCTGCAGCAGCGCATGGATGCCGGCCGGCCCTGCTTGCTGGTGGCCGAGGTCAGCGACGCCTTCGAGCGGCCGGGTGGTGGCAGCCGGCCGCAGAGCCGCGAGAGCAGTCGGCCACAGAGTCCCTCCTCAGTTGTGTCGCTGGAGGAGAGTGGCTCCCTCATTCACTGCTACCAGGAAGCCAGCGGCGAGTGGAGGGTGCTGACGCGCCTGCCCGAGGAGGCCAATGCCAAGGGCTGCGCCATGTGTGTCCTCCACAACTACCTCTTCCTGGCAGGGGGCATTGTGACAGGGCCGGTGGGCAGCGAACCCAGGGCCCGCCTTTCCGACAAGGTCTTCTGCTACAACCCCCTGACCGACACCTGGAGCCAGGTGCGGCCGCTGGCTCAGCCCCGCTCGCAGCTCAAGCTGCTGGCCCTGGATGGTTACCTCTATGCTGTGGGGGGTGAGTGCCTCTTCACTGTGGAAAGGTATGACCCACGGGCCGACCGCTGGAGCCCTGTGGCACCTCTGCCCAAGGGTGCCTTCGCTGTGGCTCATGAGGCCACCACTTGCAACGGGGAGATCTATGTGTCAGGAGGCTCCCTCTTCTATCGCCTGCTCAAATATGATCCCAAGCGTGACGAGTGGCAGGAGTGCCCTTACAACAGCAGCCGCCGGCGCTCTGCTGACATGGTGGCCTTCAAGAGTTTCATCTACCGCTTTGATGTGAGCAGTGGCCGTGGTGGGGAGCAGGGCGCAGGCGGCGGGACAAGCGGTGGTGTTGAAGTTTTCCGGTACAACACAGTGGCCAAGTGCTGGAGCCAGTGCGCCAGCCTGCGGCCCAGCGGTGGCCCCATCCAGCCCTTCCGCTGTGCCCCCTTGGGCAACACCATCTACTGCGTCAACCGGACTGGCACCCTTCGCTTCAGCCTAGCCCAGGATGGTGAGGTGGAAGCAGATGGTGGGCTCAAGGGCACCTTTGACAGGGAGCTTCTTAAAGCTCCTTTAGATGTCAAGGGTGTCCTCCTACCCTTCGTGCTTACCCTGCCTGAGAGGCTGGACAAAACCGGGGACCAGGAGGGTTCCCTCCCACTGTAAGGTGGCCAGCCTGGCTCTGGCTTCCTGAGGGGGGAGTTGGGTGGCAGATCCACAACTCCCATTGACAGAGGAGACCCACTCTCTTGTGTCTGCGGAGAAAAGGGACTTGTCCTTTCCTCTGCTCTGCTCTCAAGATCATGAGCTGGTTTTAACTCAGTTGTAATTCTTCTCATGTTTGCTGTGCTTTGTGTGAAAAGCCAAGCACACAAAAGTAAAAGCTGCTATAAAGGATAATCTCTGGATTATGTTTGTGCCAATCCCCAATATGAGAAAAAAGTTTTTACACCTGGATTTTTAAAATATTCTCGACAAGAGTGTCATAATGGGACATTAGTGTTGGTTGTGTGTTTACACATAGTTGCAACCTGGGCTGGAGCCTTTTCTGTCATTTGTGGCTTTTTCTCCTCTGGGATGATACTGAGGGATAAACATTGCTGGCAACATAGTTTAGCTGCATTTGTTTTCATGTTAAACCAATTATTTCCTGTGTTTAAGAAGTATAGGAAGAACGCCTCCATCGCAGCCTTTCGTTTCTGGTGCAATAGACAGTGTAAGGAAGCTGTGGCACTGTATTAGTCCCAGGAATTTCAACCACAGATGATTTAACGGATACCAACCTTAATGTTTTAAGTAACAAATGTGTGCCACATGTTTAACTTGGAATGCAAAAAAGAGAAAAAAAAAAGTCAAGCCATCTTTTTAAAATGTGGCATTTTGTGGTAGATATGAAATACTGATATGTTCTTTATTTGAAAAGACAGTGGTTTCTGTATGAAAAAATACTGGTTTACTACTTTTTTTGATCAGAGATTTTAAATTAAAAATGAACTGAAGCTGTTCAGACTGCAACCAGTTGACATGACCATGTATGACACTAGAACTGGGGAAGAACTTTGTACTTCGTATGCTCTTTAATTGACTGCAGGTCAAGGAAGGTTAACCTAAACTAACCTGTGGCAAAAGGCCTTTCCCACTTATTTCAAGACCATCAAAAGGGGACGTGGAAAATAGAAATGTGCTACACATGTTGATAATATTGTGCCACTAGTATGATGTTACTTCCCTGTCTTTTGATTGAGAGACTGCTTTATTTATTTTGAACTAATGATTGCTGTAATCAATAAGTTCTTGTTAATTGCAGTACGTGCTGATGGCGTACGCAGTCATTGTGATTCTAAACTGCCCAAGAGTGCTGTTTGTGGGGCAGCATCCAAATAAGGCAAAACCATACAAAACTTCTTCCTGCCTGTGGAAAGTTGGAGCACACTTTTTGTCATGTTACTCAGAACTGGAAAACATAAAATGTCTACGCAGACTATATTGAAAAGGGCACATGAATTTATTTTATACATTTTATATTTAAAAAAAAAAATAGGCAAGGCAAATGTTTTAGCTTTATGGTAAATCACTGAGAAACCTTTTCTGAAAAAAGAACCTGTGTTTTTGCTGGTACATTGCTGTATATTCAGCATGGAACTCAAGTGGACTGTGGAAGAGAATTGTTTATACTCAAAGCTCTAGTATAGATTCATATTTTAGAAAGACATAGGGACCTTGCATCAAAAAAAAAGCAGATCTTTTTATGTTTTATTAAGATGTTTTTGTTAAATAGGACTTTAGCATTCTTACATATAATTGCTAGTTCCAAAGGAAGGCAGCAGGCTCTGTCCTACGAGACATCATCTGTACAAAAGAGAATAGTGAACTTCATAGATATTTCTTTCCTTCACTTTAATGTTTGGGGTTTTTTTTCTCTTCTCGTTGTTGCACAGGGTTTTAATGCAGCTGATCTGGTTAGTCATTCTATAGAAAACAGTGGTCCAGTCCTAGAAGTTCTTAGCCAAGTGAACCTGTTCCCTAGTGAGCTAATTAAAGCATCAGCCAGGCAGGAGTGTGACATTTATCTTAGCCTCAGTACAGGTTGGTGCAGTGGAATTTAACATCCTTCTCAGAATATTTGATTTAATTTTCAGATGAAAATCCTTGGAAATATTGACTCTAAATTAAATTACAGCATTGTAGCTTGAGCAGGAAATAAAAATTACATATTTGATTTCAGCATAATTTTTATGTTAACTGTAGAAAGTATTTCAAGCTGTGTAGTGCAACGCTTAGGTGCATACTTAAACTAGAAACATAAGTGGTAGGCCAGATTTTAAAATAGTAGCATCACCAGGAACACACACAAGGAAACGTCTTCTTGCAGTACAATGCAGTTTCACAGTTCAAAGACTTATGTAGTATAGTTCTTATACTACAGCGTAGTGAGGTATCAAGCCAGGTTTTGCATTCTTATTAATTAAGCATTAATTAAGCACTGTCATTCTGCTAATGCATGAAAATGCTTCTAAATGAGTTTTGGGAAGTTTCCGTGATTTAAGATGTGACAATAATCCACAAACTTTGGAGACAGAATGAACCATATCCTTTCTTCCAATATTTATTGCTGTACACTAAGAAGAAATACATTTGCAAGTAAGTTTTACAGTATTAAGTGTTTAACAAACCTGCAATGGTTTGTGTTTTTGCTAGCTCCTATTTTTAAAAAAAGTTGAATCAAGTGCTTACCTGCTTTCACTGTCTAAACAGTGAGACAGGGGAGAGTCTGGGCTTCATTAGCAGCTGTCTATCAAACCTGTTTCCTTTGTACACTGCGTAGTCACAGCCTGATGATTAACAACAAAAGCATGTTTCTAGCCAGATTTCCTACTTTGTGGCCTCTGTTTCCTCCCTGGTAGGCCTAAGGCAGGTTTGCTGAAAATTGTTTTCTCCCCCAGTTATATCTTCACAAAGAAACACCCCCACCAAACTTGGGTACTAAAACCAGAATTTAGATTGTCTTCAGGCATTTAAAGACTGCAGTTGTCATTCCAGAACACTACAGTTTCACTTAAACCTAGCAACAACTCTCTTTGACATGTGGAGCTGCTGAGCAGTTCCCCTCCGCCCATTTGGAACTGCTCAGAGCAGTTCTACACCTACCTACCAAGTGGGATATCCAGAAACCACTGATGTAATAGGGTTTAATTTAGGTACAAACCAAAGGGCCAGGCCACCCTCAAGTTTTGTTTGCATATGTTTTGCTTTTAAAACAGCCGTTTTATCTAGAGTAGCCTGAAGTCTACCATGTTTGCATAGGAGCACAGAGATCTGTGTGTGCTTTCTTAGCCTGCAAGCATTCAGTTCACATCTCCCACCCTCTGGTTGTCAATGGACTAAAGGAACTCTTGGAGCTAGTCGTGATCTCTAAAAATTTATGCATTTTGCATTGTATGTTAATTGGCTAAAAGTCTCACAAATCAAGTTAGTCATCCTCACTGAGTGATCTGAGACTAGCTAGAGAGACATAGTCTGCCCTGCTGGTGTTCTTCCCCCTGAATCTTAAAGTCCTCCCATTTCAATGGGACATGTGAGAGATAGTAGCCCTAATTTTTCAGTGAAAAATTCATGTCAATGAAATGCCTAAAGCCTTCGTTGAATCTAAAACTAAATTCCAATTTCAATAAAGAAACGCTATTAAGAGATGAAACTTTACTGTTTCTATCTATTAACTGGTTACATGAAATAGAAATCTTAATTGCAGCAAAAGCATGTGTACAAGTTCTGTTTACACTTGAAACTAAGTAAAAAAAAAGTGGCAGAAGAATAACCCTGTTTGATCAAAACTGGCACTGTTGAGCAACATGAGGAGGATGTTAGTCATACCCTAGTAATGACTAAAATTGTGCAGTCACTGATGTAAATTCTGTCCACAGAAAGTTTCTTTGTAAATAAATACCTGGTAAAATTTGAAGTGATAAGAGAATAAATTACTCACATGAAAGCCATACCTCTCCTGTGTTGTTTGATTGGCTCACAGAATGCTGTTTCCCAGTTACCACTGGTTATCACGAGTGGGCTATTGCTTTTCTTGATTTGCATCATGTATTCCACTGATGGTTCCATAGATGTGTTACCCTTCATTATCACAAAGCTTAACAGTGGTGCTGGTGCTTTATGTCTGGGCTGATTTGTAGTGTTTTCTGCTGGAATGAATCCAGATCAAGACAGAATCCTATCTTTGGGCTTTTTTGTTTTTTCTCAGTAGCATTGCTCCTGGGAAACTTAAAACATAAAAAGGGGAAATGGTAGTACTGCTGAGCAGTTGTAATAAAAAGCATTTTATGAATTACTCTTTTTTCTGCTGTTATTTTGCACACCAGATTTGCGCTGGTTTAGCAGAACAGCTGTTAGGCTGTTACCAATAGTATGAGTCCAAGCACTATTGCAGCAAAGTATGTTTTTACCTATTTGCTGCCCCAGCTCCTACTCTGAGATAATGTAGTGCAAGTCTGTAATAGTTCCATGCATTTATGTTACTGGAACTATTCTGACTATATTACTGCTACTAAAAGCTGAGATTGACACAGAAGCTCAGTAAAATTGTGCACTCAGAATATATAATCACACACTTTTCATTTGTTTTGGCCTACTGAATGCTGAGAGCTGCTGGAATGAACCCACTGGTATTAGGAATCAGCACAAGTGCTGGTTTTGGCTGGTGTCAAGTTAATTTTCTTCACAGTAGCTGGTATGGGCCTGTGTTTTGGATTTGTGCTGAAAACAGTGCTGGTAATAGAGATGTTTCCATTGTTGCTGAGCAGTGCTCACACAGAGCCAAAGCCTTTTCTGCTCCTTGCCCCACTCCACCAATGAGGAGGCTGGTGGTGCACAAGGGTTTTGGAGGGGATGCATCTGGGACAGCTGACCCCAGCTGACCACAGGGATGTTGCAGACCATTTGTTGTCGTGCTTAGCATATAAAATTAGGGGAAGAAGAAGGAAGGGAGGACATATGGAGTGATGGTGTTTGTCTTCTAAGTCATTTCTCTGTGTGTTGGAGCACTGCTTTCGTGGGGATGACTGAACATCTGCCTGCCCATGGGAAGCAGTGTATGAATTCCTTGTAATGTTTTGCTTGCAGGTGCAGCTTTTGCTTTGGTTATTAAACTGTCTTCATTTCAACCCATGAGTTTTCTCACTTTCCCCCTTTTTATTTTCTCCCCCAAATCACTGGGAGTGAGTGAGTGGCTGTGTGGAGCTGAGCCGCTGCCTGGGGTTAAACTGCAACAGCAGGCTATTTTGGAGACTCTTAACTTTCATGAGTTACTCAAAGGAAAAAAATGGGAGTGAAAGATAGGAGGGAAGAGATGAATTCAGAGTCAAAAGTACCTACTGTATGTCCAGTTGAAACAAAGAGCAGGGAAGGGAAACCACAGTTGGTACTTGAGACAGTGATGGTTTTTTTTCAAATATTTCTTAAACAGGGTAGGTTTTTATCAATTATATTGCTAATCTTATAATTTTGTACCTGCAGTGCTTCTCAAACCACCATGGTGTTTAATAAGCTGCCTTTTGCAAGAGTCTCTTGCTTTGCTTTTAAAAAGTCTTAGTGGATAAACCCTGGACAAATTTGTGAAATCATGAAATAACAATGTCTATGCTGCCACTTTCAACAGATTAACTAATGCAAATTCTTTAGATACTGTTCACAGTTCAGGTGAATTATATGTGTAACTGATGTATTAATAGTTTCGTTTTTGAAGCATATATCGGTAAAGCTTTTTATGTACTCCCAATTTATGTTGTAATGAAATAAATATTTAAAAAAAAAGCTTATGCTCTCCATTAGGGATTTCTGGGTAATTGTTGTTTTTTCTTTGTTATCCATCCAATCAGTAAATGTTATTATGTTTTTTCTTACAAAGGAAAGACAAAATTATACAAATTATCACACAGGTAAATATTTATGAAATGTTTCTAAGGCTAATAAAAAAAAGAGAAATATTTTCATTTCACAATGCCCTGGGTGTTTGGAGCTTGAAATATTCTGCAGCAAAAGCATTTTCCTAAATGCAGATTAGGATATACTCCAGTTAACTTTTATTTCCTTTTTATCTTTTTTGTTTGTCAGTATGTTAAAGTGCATTATTCATTTATTGAAGTTACATGTAGGTTCTTCCAGGATACTTTCCTGTATTATGTCACATATGTCAGATTTTTGGCTAGAGTAGATTTACAGCAGCATAAGTGAAAACAGAATCAAACACAATTTAAATTTCCTACTTTGTCTCCTACTTATTTTCTCATCAGATATTTTGCTTGACATGAGGTCATATGACCTAGTTGAAAACTCCAATATTCATAGATTATGTGGGGTTGAACTTGCTGTAATTTCTTTCATTTCCTTACCTGTTGCTGGCTTTCTTACATTTTCTTAGGAAGGGCTAAATTCTGCTGCTGATTAAACCAGGGTAGATCTGGAATAGCTCAATAAAACATTTGAGATTAGCAGATTTTTTTTTTCCATTCATCCCCAGAGTTTTGAGTCTGTTACAAAATGACCGGGGGCATCCTTTGGAAAACAAAAAGTTCTGACTGAATAAGACTCAACCAGTCAGTCACTTGAATGTGTTTTGGGTTTTTTTTTTCTTCACTAGATTATAAAATTTTTAACTGTAATTTTTATTTGTGTTATGAACTACTTATTGGGAAGTTTTGTGGCAATGATGTTTTGTCTCAAGTATATACTCCTGCTTGATTCACTGAACATTTTGCACATCTCTCAGGATGCTTAGACCCCAGGCTCAACCTTCAGGTTTAGTCAGGTAATTTATGTGGCTTGGTCCAATAACCTGTGCCGTGATTAATTTTCCAGTTCTGAAATGCTAAATCAAACAATTTTAGCACAAAGGATTTGGATTTCAAAGACCTCTCAGTTTGGGCACACAGAATCCCCTGTTGTTGCCCATTTCCAGGTGTAATGTGTCACACATGTCCATATATTCAAAATTCACAGTAAGTTTTCATAGAAAAACATCTGCAAGCAGATGGTGTTGACCTGTATTCCTCTGAAGGCAGAGAAGTCTTGCTGGAAAGACAAATACTCAGTTGTTAGACTGTGCAAACAGTCACATAAAGCTGTGAACTCGCATGTCATACTGAGTAATTATCAAGTGAACAACAGTGTCATCAAACATGACTTTACAGCCTGTGGACAGACATACCCATCATGGTGGGGACAAAGGAAACTTAAATCTATGCCTAGAGACAAACCCCATTCCTGTTACAGGATTGGATTATCCAGGCAGGTGTCAAGAGAAGAAAGAAGTCCTAGGCTAAATAACAGCATGTTGCTAAAAGTAGGTTAGGAAGCAATAAGTGTGGCAGTACCTGCAGTCTTCTTGAAGTGTCTGTGAAGAGGATCTCTGTCTCATAAATCCCAACCAGTGCAGCTGCTGGTGAGCAAGCTCAGGCAGAGGGAGGGGAGCACGACTGCCTGACAGCAGTGACACCTGCCTGGGAGGTCACCGGCAGTGAGCAGTGACAAGAAGGAGCTGAATGAGCATCCTCTGAATGACAGCTGTCCTGAGGCAGAGTCCTTGGGAAGGGGAGAGAAAAACAGTACATGCCTGGCCATCTTGTGCCATGCCCTTCATTGCTGTGCTTTCCCCCTGTGCTGGCAATGCTTGTTCTCAAATTCCCTGCTGAGCAGCTTTATACATGGGGAGTCTTGAAGGTAATGACATTTTATCCTCCTTTTTTTTTTATTTCTTTTTTTGCCTGTTTTTTTCTTTGTCTTTTTTTCTTATTCAGTCTTTTCTTTTTTTACCTCTCTCATGCACTTTTTTTTTTTTCCGTTTAGAGATTGTATGTATTTGTCTCTCAAACATTTCAGTAGGTAACACAAGGAGTCTGTTAATTTGGAAAAACTACCTATTGGAAACCACTGAAACTCCTTTCCTCAGGAGGCAAACTTTCCTTCTATCGTCTAATAATTTTCTTTCCTTAATACAGCCCTAAATTTTTAGATGAAGTGTGGAAGACTTAATCTATGTGCTTTTTGGCAAAATGGAACCATGAGCTGTTCACTTCCTAAGAAAATAGAGAAAGTTATGAGCAATTAAATTAGTCATAATGCAGACTTAAGAGTTCGGCACCTTTTGTTAAGCTTACCTGAGCTTTTAGTCGCTGCAGAACTGCAGCTACAGCAAAAAGTAACTGCAGGATTAAGGTATAGACCAACTAGGAGGTCTTTGAGGAGTAAAATAAGAGCACAAATTGCAGCAGAATAAAGTAAATTCCCACATTATTTAGAAACTGTTATCTCAGTGATCAGGGAGTAATTCACTAATTACAGATAAGGTGGTTCTCTTTTCCTGTGTCATCATGATCCCCATCTCCATGTCTCATCCCATTCTGTTCCCTGACCTGCTGATCTGCAGTTCTTTGTCAATGTGAAAAATCATTGCAGAGTTTGACAGTAGAAAATTTGTAGGAATTTTAACTGTTCTGCACATGTAAGGGGATCTGTCATCTGCAGTGATGGATCATTTGTCTCTCCCATATTTTTCTAATTAAAGAAAAACACAATCTTTATTAGAACTAGAGAAATAAAAGCTGAGATTAAAAATACCTTCAGGGAACACAAGGAATATATATTTTCATCATTGCCAATCTCTTTTTAGATTGTAATGAAGTCCTAGACAGGCAGAGAGTCTTCTTAAAAATACAGTTTAAACTATTAGGAAAATGCAAAGTCATGCAGGTCCATGAAAGAGTTCCTGGGTTGGGAGCAGCATGGTGCAGGAACTTCCATGAGCTAATTAAGAGAAGATGAACCTCTTTCCTTTACATTCTTACTGAAGTTCTCTGCTCCTGTGTATCTACTGAAAGCAAATGCTGATTCTGACTGTGTGATTCAGTAGCATACCTTGGAGTGTAGTACTCTTTCACCCTCTTCTAAAGCAAATTAAGTATTTCAAAATACTTATTGAAAGAAAAATTGAAAGAAGTTCCTTAATTAATCATCAGCTTCCTTCATATTGCCTTCTAACGTGCTTCTTCAATCAATCCAGTGTTACTTAAATGTAGATTCTGTCTGTGTTCAAGTCTAGTTTGTCTTTGACAGAGTTGGAGTATAAGGGTATGATGGCAGTGCATATGGAATGTTTGACAAGCCTGGTCCATAAAAAGCTGATGCTGGCTCTTACTCATCTGGCAGGCACACTAATGGGAAGGAGCCCAGCCTGTCGTTTATCTCATCATACCTGCTGCCATTGCTGTATCAGGCTTTTTGAGCAGGTTGTTGGTGTACAGATGTGTGTCAGAGTACCTATCACTACATATGCCTGTAACATGTTTTTATCCCAGTCTAGCTAGGGGCATTGTGCCTCCAGGCAAGAAGAGGAAGTCTCTGCTCACCTCATACTCTTTGTTCTGGCTCCCACTGCTTTCCTGACCAGACTGCCTGGCTCAGTGCCTGCAGAAATGAGCAGAGCTGTATATTCCCTCTCCCAAAAACAAGAGGAGCACAGCGGCTCAGTTGTTACTCCTTTGTAGGTCTCTGGGGAGAGTGCACTTCCAGGCTTCCTCTTACTCAAATTACAAGGTTGCCCTTCATTCCCAAGAGCCAAGAAAAAAGCTCAGCTTACATGTGGTAAAAAAGAACTTGTACAAGTTATTTTTGAAGGGGCAGTAAAAAAGTCAGTATTTGCAGTGGCTACCCTTGATGTTGCTACTGTATTTGAAACAGCTGGAGTGTAGGTCCCCTCATTGGACCCAGGGCTTCCTCATGCGCAGTTTAAATGTGAAGGGATTCAGGCAAAAGGTTTGCTGTCTTTGAACTTTCCCTGCTATCTAGAGGCACTAAAAAAGGCAAAGGAGCCAGCTGAGTGACTGCAGCAGTTCATCTTTCACAGTGCTGCACGGGCACTCTGCAATGCTGTGCTGTGGCAGATGGCAGCAGGTGAGGAGAGAACATGGGAGCAAAAAGGGGCTTGAGTGGAGCTTTCTTAGTGAGAAGAAATCAGGTGCAGATTACCTGGGAAACAATTCCCTGTTAAATGTTTTTTTGACTCATACATATGCTTGCACATAATTTGAAAAAGATAGATAATTCTATGGGCAATGAATAGTTAGTTCCTGCTGCTCTTGTATGAGGAAGTAGAGACATCAAGAAGACCTAGTTTCATTTCTGATTCTGCCATAAAATTCCATTTATTACTGGAGAAAAGCTGTTAAAGCTTCAGTTCTCTCCAAAGAGAAAAGTGGGGAGGGTCGGGATGGAGAGAAAGGTGATTCAACCCATTCTGTGTTGGAAATTGGGTTTTTTTCATCAGTAAATGACTTTGGGAATACTGGCTAATACTGTGGAGTGCATTTTACTGTTTCAACATTTTACTGTATTTGCTCCATGTGAACAGAATATTTTCTTCCTGTGAAGCTGACCAGAATAAAAAATGAGTGAAACTGTTCCTACTTTTGTTCCTGTTTGTGGCCTTCTGCAGCATCATTCCTGGGCTTTGAAAAGGCAGTGGGATGCCTGCCTTTCTGTAGAGGCACAGATATCTGCAGTGGAGGAGCCAGGTGAGTAAAAACCCTGACAGTTTGGAAATGATAATACCTCTGCTGTGACTATTCCTCCACCTTCATCTCCAGCCCCTGTATTTTATATTAGCAAGGATGTGTAGTTTTGAGAGAAGCGTGATGAAAAAGTGGTGCTCTTCCTCACAGTCTCTTTTGAGAGACTTTATCTGAAGTTATGTTCAGTGCCTTGCCATCTGCACATAGTTAAGGTTACAAATCAATTTTCAGTTTTTTCACTTCAAATTTTTAAGATTTTGGGTGAGATTATGTTTTATGTTTTTATCTTCACTCTCAAAAGTTATGTCAAAAGTACTGAACAGGTCATTAGAGTACTTTGCGTGAATTAAAACAGATAGGACCTTCCTTTTTCTTCTTCTGAAATCCTAAAAGGGTAAAATCTCATTAGTGTTGAAATGTTTCTTTTTGTAAACTTCAGAGAATTTTGAATTCTGTCAGAAGAAAAAAAAAAATAGTAAATCCCTAATACCTAATACAAGGTAGAAAAGAGCCAACCACACATTCCCTGGAAAGGGTTGCATTTTCATTATATTTCATAGGCCTTGTCAAGGGCTGCAAATCTGGATACATGAAGTCAAGATAACAATGCTGATCTGTGCTTCCTGAGAAACTGCTTCTGGGACAGCTCTGCTGGTGTCTGTCGAAGTGCAGTTGTAAGGATCTAAGGTTTTAAGGATATCTAAAATACACTAGCCATCCCCATTAAAGACATTTTAAGTGTTTCTGGTGGTGTAGTTCACCAAACAGTCAATTCTTGCCTCTGCCAACCACTGGTGATTGCCACAACACGTCTGGTTTAAAATTTCAAAACAGAGTAAGGAGAAACACTCAGCAGTTCCTTTTGGCAGTGTGGTAGCTCTGTCTTCATCCAAACCAGCTAGCAGGAGAGCTTTGCTCCATTTCAGATGCACAACCTGCTTATGGAAAGAGCTGTTTCCAGCAGTCCTTTTGCATATAGCTTCCTCTTCCTTTCAAATCTGGAGACTCGGATGTCTCTATGCT